GTCAGCCCAGTGGAATAGCAGCCACCTTCCTATCTCTCACGAGCCGCTGTCCGGCCGGCAGGTGATCACCCCGGGGCCCGATGGGGGTGCCCCTAGCAGTGCGCCTCTGACCTGCGGTGCTGACCCCCTGCGGGAGGCCGGTGGGGCGCAGGCTCGGCCCCGGTCCCCCGCGGGCCTGAGGTCAGGCGACGAAGTGCTCCGCACTCAGAGTCACTGTCAGGAAGGTGTCGCCAGTCTCCGCAGTCCGGATGTTGTTTTCCGAGAGGACACGTGTGGGAGGAGAGGGAGAAGAGGCTCCCCAGATTGCACACACACCAGCACAGCCCTGTGCCCTTCTCCCCTCCTCTTCCTCACCCTGCGCCCACAGGGAGCCGTGGGCTCTTTCCCAGGACACAGAGGCTGGACAGTGGACACCGGACAGTGGATATTGGACAGCGGACAGCAGACAGGGGATAGTGGACACCGGACAGTAGACAGCAGACAGGGGATAGTGGACACCGGACAGTAGATAGGGGATAGCGGACAGCAGACAGGGGATAGTGGACACCGGACAGTAGACAGCAGACAGGGGACAGTGGACACCGGACAGCAGATGGGATAGTGGACAGCGACAGTGGGCAGCGGACAGCGGACTTGTTGATTCCCTGCCAAGCCTGAGAAGAGCAGACGGGCGAAGAGCCGTGAGACGGCAGAGCAGGGCTGGAGGAGGGGCGGAGCGGCCTGGCACAGGCGTCTGCCTGTCAGGATCAGGACTCCTCCCTGCTCCCGCTCTCACTATTCCTGGAGCCGCGCAGGCGGCTACTTATATCCCGGCCCCCGAGGAGTCTGGGGGAGCGTGCACGTTCCCTGTTTCCTGGGGCCCCGTTGGCGCTAGCGGAGCCGACTGGAATCTGGACACCCCACGGCGCCAGCCGCTGGTCTGCCCAGCTGGGCCGCAGTGGCGCCTCTCTCTGTCAGGGCGACGGGCGCAGAGAGGCGGGGCGACATCGCTGCAGGCCAGATAGACCCTCTCCGAGCAGGCCTGCCTTTCCTACCACAGCTCTCCTGACACCCACCCCAACAAACGAACACGGGCCTGTACCTTTAACTGCCTGGAGCGGTGTGGAGCGGCCCGTCACCTGGGCACCTGGTCACATGACGCTGGCTTCGGGACACGGTGTCCTGGAAGGGGCGTGGAGCCAGCCTGAGCCCCACCGGTCAGAGCCAGAGAACTGGCATGGGCTCAGTCTGCACAACACAGACACCCGTCTCTTGCCCGCTACCCCAGACCTGGCGCTGGTCTGCTGGAGCTGAAGAAGGACAGAACAGGCCAATCAGCTCATTAATGGACCAGCCTCTCGATCTCTGTCTGTTGTAGCTCCTGCTCGACTGAAATACCCGCCTTGCATACAGGGCAAGACGAGCACAAACAGACGAGTCAAGTCAGAGGGCACACTGGGCCTCGTGAGCTTGAAGCCTTGAAGTGTCCTGCAGCAGTAAAGGCTGCATGAAGTGTCAAATGAAAAGACGAGTTTCCAAACGAGACTGGATATACAGTAGAAGACTGAAATGAACCCACTTGTACAACAAGACTGCAGAAGCTCCGATTTCCAGGACCCAAGACACAAGAGAAAACACGAACGGAGGCAGCGTATAGACGGAGAAAAGGAGGCTGTGCAGCACTGGGGCGCAACACTTCCAGCACTCTGGGTGTAAGCAAGGAGACACCGCCAGGCACAGAGGAGCAGGGCAGGCTGGGTCAGGTTCGTGTCTGTCAGAGCACCACTCGCCGAGATGGAGCAGCTCTAGTCAGAGATGAGGGACGGAGAGTGTGGGGTGGAAACACAGCCCAGACCCACACAGGAGTCTGCTGCACCCGGATCTCTGCCGGGCCCAGCCGGGTGGACAGGATGGGGAGAGGAGGTCTGGGGAGACGTGGGCGGGGTGCTGCTGGGAGAGATCAGCGGGCTTCGGCTCTCTCCAGCAGCACAGGGATGAAGCACTGAGGAGAGATCTTGATTCCTCCCAGTAAAGATGATCCAATTAGAACGTCTGCAGCAATTAAAGTGTCTGAGCAATTAGCATATCAGGAGACACAAACAAACAAATAAATTGGAAAGATGTCAAAGGCCTGCACACGTGCTGAATTTAAATCAGGAGTTTAAATACTGTTAAACAGGGTGTGCAAATTAGAGAGAAAGTAGGGTGCAGGGGCTTTTTCAGAATGAACAGGGAGTCCTAAGTGTGAACAGGGAGCTGAGTGTGAGTAAGGAGCAGCGAGTGTGAGCAAGGAGGAGTGAGTGTGAGCAGGGAGCTGTGGATGTGAACAAGGAGGAGTGAGTGTGAACAAGCTGTACTGAGTGTGAACAGTGAGTGTGAGCAGGGAGCAGTGTGATATGAAAATGGCAATATAAGTGTGATCACACTGTACATTCCTGCCATATAGAGCACTGTTGTATACAGATCTGTGTAATTTTAAGCGATCAGTTAATTTCATCTGGCTGTCAGCAGAGAGTTGAGAAGGAGGAGGACCAGCAGAAATGTGTCTGCCCATCTGTCAGCAGAGCCCAGCTCTGCAGCGCTGTCTGTCTCCTTCCTCTCCCTCTCTTGGCGCAGAGGTGTCCCAGCCCTGCCCCTCTGCGGTGCGGCGGGGGCACGTGGCGCCGCTCAGCAGCGCCATTCTGTTCTATATTCAGAGCTCTCCAGGCACCCCATGTACAGACACGTGCGTGCTGCCAGAGCAGTAGAGTATGCGTGGGATGAGCCGAGGAGATTCCTGCCCGTGATTCAGCAGGGACTAGGAGACTCTTCCTGATGTCCAGGCCGGCTGTGCCACACGCCCCCCTCCTGCACGCCGCCCCCACACCCCCCGGTCGGGGTGAGGGGGGTATAAATATAGATCAATACCGCTACCGCGCCTCCCTCTGGCAGCTCAACAACCAGACAGCAAAGATGGCTCTGTCTCCTCCGTGCGAGAAGAGGAGGGGGTCGGGAGGGAGGGAGTGTGGGCGAGATGCAGAGATAGACAGACATTGAAAGAGACAGGAACACAGAACGAGAGAGGAGCACAGGTGACAACCAGATGAAGAAACACCGAGAGGGAGAGATTGATGTGCAGTTGTAGACAGCGATTGGAGAAGCTCATCTCTCTCCATTTCCTCTTGTTATTCCATGTCACATGTAGGAAACCAGCCAGACCCAGGGCAGCATGTGAAAACACAATCTTACACCATCATCTTGTGTATTAATGTCAAATCACGCATTGAAGCCTGGGGTTTAAATTTGTTCTGATTCTCCTCATAATTACTCTTCTTCAAGTGTGTGCTCAACAGAGCTCTGCTTTCTGCAGAGCTATTAACTCGATCAGTGTAGCTGTAGGTCGGCTGTTGCATTGTATATTCAGTAACAGCATGAAGCTCAATTTCTACTTTTTGAGCATCTGTCATAATCTTTACCCGAAGAGAAGGTGCAGCAGAGATCCGAGCCGGAGATCCAGCACCGTGGCTGGGCTGTCACATCAGGAGCTCACAGCCTGGAAATAGGACAACGCCCGAGACGAGCCCCCGCCCCCACCCTGTCCTCATCAGCACCCCTGGAGCTGCTGCACTGGCAGCTCATTCGCATTTTGCAATTAGCTAACGAGATGCAGATCCTGCTGGCCTGGACAGGGGAGGGTCCTGGCCCTCTTGTCCAAACAGGGACACAATCGCTTTGCTTCTTTATCGTGGGCAAGGAGAGCACTGCCCCCACGTAGGACTCTCACCGTGTGGAGAGAGAGAGAGAGGAGGCAGACAAGTGAGCTAGAGGAAGGACTGGCCACAGAAGCTGGACACAGGCAGACCTGGCTGCCCAGAGGACAATGCCTAGGTTTGTTAAAACAAATGGGAAGCTGAATGACCCCTCTTAAACTCCATTTTTACGACAAGAGTGGAGGGGATGAAAACAGTGGTTAGTGTTATGTACAGCGGTCAGTGTGAAGTGCAGTGGTCAGTGTGAAGTGTGAAGAACAAAGAAAAGTTCAGTGTAAAAACAAGTAAAACTCAAAACTCTTTATTTTCTGGATTTGTACATCAACACATAAGTCTCCTGAAACTACACTGCAGTGCTTCACTTCCTGTGCTTGATTCTGCTCTGTCCGTCCACAAGGGGGCGCTGCTGAGCTCAGTGAGGCTCACACTCTTCTTGGGCTGCTGGTGTGGACACACAGAGAGGGAGAGACAGGACAGTCAGCAGGGGAATGAAGGAATAGAGGGTGTGTCTGTGACTGCGTGTGTGAGTGAGTGTGTCAGGGTGTGAGGGTGTGAGTGTGTGTGTCAGGGTGTGAGTGAGTGTGTGTGTGTCAGGGTGTGAGTGTGAGTGTGTGTGTCAGGGTGTGAGTGAGTGTGTGAGTGTGTGTGTGTCAGGGTGAGTGTGTCAGGGTGTGAGTGTG